CCATATAAAATTACTAATTCTTCTAGAACCTGCTATGGGTTCTATCCAAAGAAATTCCGACTTTATTTCCATTATATATCTCCTGATACCAATGATTTTTTCAAAAAAAAATATTTCAAAATATTGTTACTAAAAAATGATTAGATCATATCACATAATCAATATTCGTAATAATATGTTACTACAATTTTCTACAAGAAAATATACCAAAAGAATGCCAAAACATATTTCTTATAGTTATAAAATAGACAAAAATTCAATAAAGAGGTTTTCACATTCAAAACTTCTATTAGGAATATAGTTTATTCTATTGATTCAGTAATTTAGATTGTATTTTCTTATAGAAAAGAGTAAAAGACATATTTTTCTCTTAAAAATTCTATTGAGACTAAAATTTTTATGTTTATAACAATCAGATTCTATTAATGATCACCTTCTGGAAAAAGAATTGCTTTTTTTACGTAGAGAATTTTGGAATGTGTAAGTATACTAAACCTGATATTGTTATTAGGATTCTCTTATGCTGACTATTATTAGCTACTTTGGTCTATTATTAGCGACTTTGCTATTCACAATAGTACTTTTTGTTGGTCTTACAAAGATCCAACTGATTTAGAAGGTTGCATAATGGTAACACCAGAATAAACCGATCATATCAGTTTAATAATTCTCAAATAGAGTTCTTTTCTATATGATAAAAAGGTGTTACTTGGTTTAAGGATTTTATACAATAAGAATTCACAGAAAAACAAGGAGTCACTATTTATGGTTGAGCCTTTATTGTCTGGAATCGTGCTAGGCATGATTCCTATCACCATGGCTGGATTATTTGTTACTGCATACCTTCAGTATCGACGCGGTGATCAGCTAGATCTATGATTCTATGGCTGCTCAAATTGAGCAGCCATAGAATCATAGATCTAGGAAGTAGAACAATTGTAAGTTTTTTTAATACTTACAATTGTAGATTAAGTGAAAAATATACAGGGAAAAAGAAACAAAATCATTTGCATATGGATAATTCATTTTTTAAAAAAGTATGATATCTGATGAATAAAATTTTCTATTCAGATCGTATGCTTTCCATTATTTCCATTAGTCACACGCCCTGTAGGACTTGAACCTACGACATCAGGTTTTGGAGACCTGCGTTCTACCACTGAACTAAGAGCGCATACATGATTTGAGTATTCACAAAAATAATGTAAGAAAGAAAAATATCCTCTTTTTGAACTTTACGAAAAGACTCAATTTCATCTGCAAATAAACCTTAAAATAATTCTAACCAGCAATGAAGGTGGGGATGACAGGATTCGAACCTGCGGCATTTTGTACCCAAAACAAATGCGCTACCAAGCTGCGCTACATCCCCTGTTTACAAGATAAATTATATGTATATCACTAAAAATTAGCTAGTATATTTCATGTTGTTTCAGAAATCACAAGAAACATATTTCTTGAAGAAAAATATATACTTTCTCTCAATTGATGAAATCTTTTAGAATGAACGATTCTAGTATCGATCCTTTTTATACTAAATTAAGATTGTTAGAAAAAAAGATGAATATATTTGAAGTATAGAAAATTTAGAAAAAAAATGAATCATAAATCATTTTTCATCATTCCTTCCATTATTTCTTAGAATTCTCTTTTGATGAAAAAATGTATACATGACTTCTCTTTCATACATATAATTAAGTAAGATTAATATGGTGTTATGAGTAATTTATACTAAAGAAAATGGGAAAGTGCCAATCACAAGATATACAAAGGTAATTTTTCATTTTTTTAGATATGGTATGAAATTACTTGGATGTACTCTATGCTTGTGAGGAAATATGACCTTTAGTTAGTGTATACTTGTTATGTAGTTATAACATGAAGATAGCATAAAATATAACTAATAGGCTTATTTAAGCAAAAGATGCATATATTAAGAAATAGGAGATTCTGTTATGCAAGATTTCAAAACCTACCTGTCTACAGCCCCTGTATTGGCTACATTATGGTTTGGAATATCAGCTGGCTTATTAATAGAGATTAATCGTTTTTTCCCAGATGCATTGGTACTTCCATTTGTATAAGAATACTAACAATATAGTTATCTTATAAATTGCAAAAGAAGATTTTTTTTGTTGCATCAACAAATTAGTTTAAAGAAGATCTTTATCTTCGATTCATTGAACCTAGATATCCAATAAGTAAACATTTTGAAAATTCATTATGATTTATTACAGAGGACTATATATCTGGGGAAATCATGTTATTTCATAAAATTTCATGATATTCTACGAGTGATATTGATGTTTATTACATACTATTTATTAGTCATTTTACTATTTGTCTAATGCATCAATCTTCCAAAGCTATCTATGAATTCATAAAGAATTTGACAGGAGGAATCCGCCAACTTCAAAGCTTGTTTAAGCAATATACTTAATCAAGATCAGTGTTCAACCGACTCCATTAGAGGAGTCGGAAAAATAGAGAAAATATACTTTATTTAATGATATCTATCTTTCTAATTAGGATTTTTTGGTATTTCCTAATCAATTTAATATATGTATTCCCAGTTATATCTATATATTCTCTTCAATATTTTATTGAAGATGTTATTATGACTCGATAATATATTAAATATTTAATGTATTGTATTAAGAAAGAAAAGACTTTTCATTTTCAAGATTTTGTTAAACAAATTTCTTCCATAATTCCTTTTATTCATCATAACATTATAACTGTAAAGTTATAATCTACATATTCTATACCTTTATGATACCTGAGGTAATCAAATTATGGCCAAAAGTAAAGACGTAAGAATTACTGTTACTTTAGAATGTACAGTTTGTCCACAAAATAGAAATAAACGTTTTCCTGGTGTTTCAAGATATACCACAAAAAAAAATCGTCGTAATACTCCGAATAGATTGGAGTTAAAAAAATTCTGTCCTCATTGTAACACACATACAATTCACAAAGAAATTAAAAAATAATAGAAGATAAATGAAATGGGAGATCACTATGAAAAAATTCGTTAGTAGACCAAAAAGATCGTCTAGACGCCGTAAAAAAACACCTATAAAACCAGGAGAAAGCATTGATTACAAAAATGTTGGTTTATTGCGTAAGTTTATTAGTGAACAAGGAAAAATTTTATCTAGACGTGTTAATCGATTAACATCAAAACAACAACGTGCTATGACAAGAGCTATTAAAGCAGCTCGTATATTAGCGTTATTACCTTTTTTAAATAATGAAAGTTAATCGTTGTGTAAATTGTGAAAAAAAGTAGTCAATTTATATACTTCTTCTTAAAAAAACAGGCAAAGAGATAGTAACTTGAATTTTTTTTTAAATTTCATCCATTGAAAATATCTTTTTGCCCACTCATATTATTTAGGGGTTCCAAGAAATGGATGACCCCTTATTGCATTTATCAAATAAATCATTTTTTTCGGTAGGCTTAGGAATAAGGAATAAGGAATAAGGAATAAGGAATAAGGAATAAGGAATAAGGAATAAGGAATAAGGAATAAGGAATAAGGAATAAGCAATAAGGAATAAGGAATAAGGAATAAGCAATAAGGAATAAGGAATAAGCAATAAGGAATAAGGAATAAGCAATAAGCAATAAGCAATAAGGAATAAGGAATAAGGAATAAGGAATAAGCAATAAGCAATAAGCAATATGCAATGAATTTTCCTGATAAAAAGATTTCTAATAGCTCTTGTTAGATTTTAAGACCTAGCAAGAGCTTTTTGCATTCTGATAATCATTCCTTGGTCATATGCAAAAAAAATATATAGAAATAATTTTGCTAAACACTATTCAATAACCCGTTAAAACCATCTTTATCTAAAACTGCTATTTGTGCAATCATCTTACGATTAATGGAAATTTTAGATGTATAGAGTTTGTTAATAAATCGACTATAAGAAAGCCCTTTTTGACGTACTGCAGCATTAATACGAGTAATCCATAATTTTCTAAAATCTCTTTTCCTTCTACTTCTATCTCTCTTAGATGAAACCAATGCTTTCATAACCTGTTGTTTTGCAGGTCTAAATAACCTTGAATGCGCACGACGAAATCCTGAGGCACATTCAAGAATACGATTACGGCGTTTTCTAGCTACGTATCCACGTTTAACTCTTGTCATTCTAAGTTTTTTATATAATAAAAATATTTATAACATAATATTATACTACTAAGAAAATTTTCCATATCCTCGTACAGGATACAATATCTCTTTATGAGAAATTATGTTATCTAAAAATATAGGTCTAATGTAGGGGAAAGGATCATAATGGCATTTGCTTCTGTAACCTTCCTTTGTATAAAGGCCTTAGTTCAGGTAACTCCTCAGAAAACAAGGGGGAATGCCTTGTGCTGAGAGCATTTATACATTACTTTGTTTCCATAAATTTTCTTATGACGGTAAGATTCTCTCTTTACACTGAAGCTAATTTTGTTCCTGATAGGAATTAAATAAGAGTGCAATTGAAAACCTGTACAAGATTCAATCTTTCGCTTTCTTATGTTGTATGCTAAGTACCTTATTTCTGACATAGATACTTAGAAAATATGAACAGTGTTTTATTACGAGAGTTCGCTGAGCAGCTAACCTTATGAATCCGTTATTGCAATGAACAACACATATTGTCTATTAATACTATATTTGTTCGTCTTTCTCGCTTCACGGATTGATGACCAGTCACTACCGTGGAGAAAGTGCATTCTATCTTGCACTAAGATGATTGGATTTACACCAAGGAAATTTATGAATTCCACCTATAAAAAAAATAAGTGGCAGATCCATACTCTAAAAATTCCTAGATTCTTCTGTCATATCGATTCTAGGTTTTTACTAGTTTAGATCTGAACAAATCACACATACACTCTAGTACATACTCCTCTTCTTTGAGGACAAGCTCGAAGGGCTGGAGACTTGGTTCTATTTTCTGCAGGTTGTCTGCTATGTCTAATAAGTTGTTGAATGGTAGGCATAAATTGTTTGAACAGAAATGTTCAGTTGAGATGAATCTTAACCACATTCTGTTTTGAACCAAAAAGAGAAAAATGATGTTAAGAAAGATTAGCTACTGAAAAATCTAAGGTAACTATAAGAGAACTATAGAGATTTTCTATCATTATTATAAAACATCTGGAGTAGAATCATTATCTGCTGCTACTAAATCTACAATTCCATATGCTTGGGCTTCTTTTGCAGACATAAAAACATCTCTTTCCATATCTTCAGAAATTACCCATGCTGGCTTCCCAGTACGCTGAACATAGACTCTTGTAATAGAATCTCGTAATTTCAAAACTTCTTCAGCTTCCATCATGCATTCACCTGCTTGCCCATCATAATAAGAACTAGCTGGTTGGTGAATCATTACTCTAGCATGAGGTAGGGCTAGACGTTTAGTAATTTCTCCTCCAGTTAAGATAAAAGAACCCATAGAAGCTGCTAGGCCCATACAGATAGTATGCACATCTGGTACTACAAATTGCATAGCATCATATACTGCAATTCCAGCCAAGACTGCTCCACCAGGAGAATTGATGTACATAAACATATCCTTACTTTCATCTTCTCCATTCAAATACATCATAATACCAATCAATTGATTAGCAATCTCATCATCTACATTCTGACCTAAAAAAAGTAATCTTTCACGATACAATCGATTATACACGTCTACCCAAACTGCCTCTTCTTCTCCAGGAAGACGAAAAGGGACCCTTGGAACACCAATAGGCATAATGTTAATTTAGTAATTAAATTGTATATACTCCCCTATATACACTATAGTACTATAGTGTCGTTAATTAGATGTTACATATTGCAATATGTTTTTTGTGTAAGATATAGAAATGTTTTTTCATTTAGAAAAAAACAAAAATTTTTTTTCAAAAATTCCACAAACATTTGAACAAAAGCTTTTTGTCTACTTTCTATAGTATGTTTGTCTACTATACAGTATTTTTTTGTAAAAATATAGAATATTTTTTTGTAAAATTTTTTTAAGCAGTTTATGTACTTAAATAAATTAGAGTACGAAATGGATTTCTTTTCCTCTTCTTTGTTGTATTTTACACTAGAAATTTTTGAATTCAAACCATTTTCTATGTTGTGATGATAAACAAAAAATGTTACAATAAATACGGTTATATCAACAACAAGAGACCATAAAAAAATTGCGTTTAGAAAAAGATCACTATAGGGAAATAGTGCCTGGGATGTTGAAAATAAATAGCAAACGCAATAGGTCATCTTAGTGCAAGAGAGTCACAGAATGTCTAATTCTCTCTGAGAAAGAGGTGTTACCCATGGGTTTGCCTTGGTATCGTGTACATACAGTTGTTTTAAATGATCCCGGTCGTTTGATTGCTGTGCATATCATGCACACTGCTCTAGTTTCTGGATGGGCTGGTTCTATGGCTTTGTATGAACTAGCAGTTTTTGACCCTTCTGATCCTGTTCTTGATCCAATGTGGAGACAAGGCATGTTTGTAATTCCTTTCATCACTCGATTGGGAGTTACTAAATCATGGGGTGGCTGGAGTATCACTGGAGAAACCGTTAATGATGCTGGTCTATGGAGTTACGAAGGTGTAGCAGCTGTTCATATTGTTCTTTCTGGACTATTATTCCTAGCAGCAATTTGGCACTGGGTTTACTGGGATCTTGAACTATTCCGTGATGAGAGAACTGGCAAACCTTCCTTAGATTTACCTAAAATCTTTGGAATTCACCTTTTCTTATCTGGAGTACTTTGCTTTGCTTTTGGTGCGTTTCACGTAACTGGTTTATTTGGTCCTGGCATCTGGGTTTCTGATCCATATGGAATTAGTGGAAGTGTACAACCTGTAGCTCCAGCTTGGGGTGCAGAAGGATTCGATCCTTTTAACCCAGGTGGTATTGCGTCACACCATATTGCAGCAGGTATTTTAGGAATTCTAGCAGGATTATTCCACCTAAGTGTTCGTCCTCCTCAGCGTCTTTATAAAGGATTGCGTATGGGGAACATTGAAACCGTACTATCTAGCAGTATTGCAGCAGTTTTTTGGTCAGCTTTTGTAGTAGCTGGAACTATGTGGTATGGTAGTGCAGCAACTCCTATCGAACTATTTGGGCCTACTCGTTATCAATGGGATCAAAACTATTTCCAAGAAGAAATTGAAAGACGTGTTCGTGCTAGTCAAGCT